AGAGAATCACACAAACTACCCTTATTAAGAACAGGAAAAGAAAATGAGCAAAATCTCCAGGACAAGCTGAGAGAAAGCCTATCCATATTAGCAGGGTCGAGGAGTGGGGAGAGGGAGTGACCACACTTACTGACAGCATTTCCTCTCCATCACCTTGAGCACAGCCTAATTACATCCCATTTTGCCAATGAGAAAATGAAACTCCCAGGCACAAACTGCTAAGTACCATCCAGCAAGAAAAGCGAGATGGAACTGAGCCTTAGTCACTTTGTCTTGAAAGCCAACTCATTCTACACTATGCTTATTCTGAGCATAAGAAAAGTCCTCCATGGTTGATTTCATGTAATGACCAAACAGCCTTCTTTATGTTAATTAATTTTCCACATACCATTGGCAAGGAGGAGAGAATGAGCTAGAGCTATGTTAGCCATTCATGTTTCTTAGTGATCTAATAAATCAACTTTCTAAATCCAAAAACACATGAGTTATGGATGTTGGACATAGACTTATAATGATTTCAAAATACACTTGATAATGTGATCCGAAAATGATAGAATGTGTATATACATTTCATGTATAAATAGCAAATTTTTATTCATTTTGTACATCCCTGCTCTTTAATTTTATTTTAATTTTTTATAAAAAGGAAAACAAATTTCATTCATTTCATATATAGTTTTAAGGACATAATGATACTTACAACCCCCTCCTCCTCCTTCTATATCTCTCCACCCTTCTTCCTCTTTCCTTGTTTTTCTTATAATCTTCACAATGACATGCTTCAAATTTTCTTACAGTCCCAAGCTTAACTCTCCAATAAATAGGGAATTCACAAGTAGTAAGTAGAAAGATCACTGTTCCTCAAGATACAGGCAATGGCTATAAATAATAATCAAGACTTCAAAATGTCAATTTTGTTCATATACGCTACACTTTTTGTACTCTGTATATTAGTTACCACAGATCAGGGATAATATATGATATTTGTCTTTTGGGGACTGGCTTATTTCACGAAGCACAATTATCTCCAGTTGCATTCATTTTGTTGAGAAATACAGGATTTCATTCTTTTATATGGCTGAGTAGTGTTCCCATGTATACAGTACCATATTTTTTACCCAGTCATCAATTAATGGACATCTCGGTTGATGCCATAACCAGCTATTGGGTTAAGCTGCTATAAACATGGAGGTACAGATAACCCCTATCTGATTTCATTGCCTTTGGGCAAATTCCCAGGAGTGGGAATTTACTGGGTCATAGGGAAGGTCTAAACTCAGATTTCTGAAATATTTCCATACTGTTTTCCACAGTGGTTGCACTGGTTTACATTCCTGCCAACAGTGGATTAGAGTACCCTTTTCCCCACATCTTACAGCATTGTTGTTTGTGACTTCTGTGTGAAAACCATTCTAACGGGGGTAAAGTGAAACCTCATTGGGATTTTATTTGCATTTCCCTGATAGTGCTCCTGAGAATTATTTTATATGTCTATTGACCATTTGTGTTTCAATCATTGAAAATGGCATGTATATATTCTATCCCATTATTAACTGGATTATTTGTTTTGTTATGGTTTTCTTGAGCTCCTAAAGTTCTGGATACATAATCCTTTATCAGATATGTAGTTTGCAATAATTTTCTTTCTCCCCATTCTGTTGGTTGGTCTCTTCCTTGCGTGGTTTCCTTTGCAAGTGCAGAATCTTCTTTGAGGTAATCCTGCTTTTTTGATTTCATACCTTTAGTAGCAGTGTCGTTGGAGTCTTATCCAAGAAGTCTTTGCACTAGCCTTACATGTTTCCTCAACGTTTTCTTCAAGTAATTTTATGGTTTCAGGTCTTAGATTTAGATCCCAGATAAATTTTGAGTTGTTTGTTGTGTAGGGTGTGTGGTAGATATACCCTATAAAAAAGGGATATGGAGTGTTTTAAATTAGAAATATCCAATGTATTTCCAAAGACAAATAAACTGTTAATAAATAGAGAAAACACCTATTTTCAACCCACCCTATTCTGTCCACATGGTTTGGTTTATTCTACATGGTTTCTGTCATTGGTTTCCATGTACATGTATGTGTTTGTGTATTTTCTAGATACATGGGACTGTTGCTGATTCTAGGACTTCTTAAGGAGCAAGCTCAAAGCAAACCTGAAAGCAAACGTGCTCACTTTTAATTAGGGTGAATTGATATTGTAAGCATTTTAATCAAATAAGTAATACATATAAAATGAGTAATAAAATAATCCCTTTGTCTTTACAGCTTGTTTGGGCCACTTCTTACCTCATTGGCTGTGGTGTTGCAGTGTGCCGACAACAAAGGATATTTAACTATCTCTACATCTGTCACTATTGTCATGAGTATGTGTTACTGGATTCACACATCTTTTGAAAATGTATTCCCCTAAAGAAACCTAATATAAGGCCGGCACCGCGGCTCACTAGGCTAATTCTCTGCCTTACAGTGCCGGCACCCCGGGTTCTAGTCCCAGTAGGGGCACCGGATTCTGTCCCGGTTGCCCCTCTTCCAGGCCAGCTCTCTGCTGTGGCCCAGGAGTGCAGTGGAGGATGGCCCAAGTACTTGGGCCCTGCACCCCATGGGAAACCAGGATAAGTACCTGGCTCCTGCCATCGGATCAGCGCGGTGCGCCAGCCACAGCGCGCCAGCTGCAGCGCACCAGCCGCGGCGGCCATTGGAGGGTGAACCAATGGCAAAAGGAAGACCTTTCTCTCTGTCTTCTCTCTCTCTCTCTCACTGTCCACTTTGCCTGTCCAAAAAAAAAAAAAAAAAAAAAAAAAAGAAAGAAAGAAAGAAAGAAACCTAATCTAGTTAATCAAAAGTTATAACGGAAAACAAAAATTTTCTCAGTTGGGTAAATCTTAAGAATAAATGGCATTTAGCAATACACATAAACATACATACATGTCTTTATATTTTATAGCATATTTTTACTAAATAATATCACATTAGTATAATATAAGCATTCAAACTGAATTACCAGTAGTTTTGCTATTGTCATGGATTCTTCAGGGAGTTATTACATAAGGAAAGCCAATAAGATGTAATGCATACAAAGAAGCAAGGTGATTTTGAGCAAATTTAAGCAAAGAAACAATGACATTTACTTCAACAAAATAGGAATATTTTTAGAATTCAAAGCAGAAATGTTGGGGCTGACATTGTGGTACAGCAGGTTAAACTGCTCTTTTTTAAAAGAAATATTTATTTATTTGAAAGGCAGAGTTACAGAGAAAGAGAGAGGGGTGGGTGGGTCGGTGGGAAAGGTCTTCCATCTACTGGTTCACTGTCCGAATGACCACAACAGCCATATCAGGGCCAAGTTCAAGCCAGAAGCTTCTCTCAGGTCTCCTATGTGAGTAGGTACAGGGTCCCAAGTATTTGGGCCATACTCCACTGCTTTCCCAGGTATATAGGCGGAGATCTGGATTAGAGGTGGAACAGCTGGGACTTAAACTGGTGCCCACATGGGATGTTGGTGCTGCAGACAGTGGCTTAACCTGCTACATCACAATTCCAGCTGAGTTGCTCTGCTTCTGATCCAGCTTCCTGGTAACGTGCCTGGAAAAGCAGAGCCCCTGCAACCCACAAGGGAGACTATGAAGGACCAAAGCACAGTATAACTTCAAAAGGAAACAAATAGAAAACTACCAAGTATTCTTCCCTACCCTTAGCTTTCCAGTTACAAAATTAGTATATGAGGTATCTTTTAAAAGTTCCTGGGAAAGGCCAGAACCGTGGCTCAATATGCTAATCCTCTGCCTGTGGTGCTGGCACACCGGGTTCTAGTCCCAGTCGGGGCGATGGATTCTGTCGCGGTTGCTCCTCTTCCAGTCTAGCTCTCTGCTGTGGCCCGGAAGTGCAGTGGAGGATGGCCCTGCACCCGCATCAGAGACCAGGAGAAGCACCTGGCTCCTGGCTTCAGATCAGCGCAGCGCACCGGCTGCAGCGGCCATTGTGGGGTGAACCAACGGAAAAGGAAGACCTTTTTCTCTGTCTCTCTCTCTCTCTCACTGTCCACTCTGCCTGTCAAAAAAAAAAAAAAGTTCCTGGGAAATACATATTATGAAAAAACTTTACATGAACTTCAAACTTCTTTTTCACTAAAATAAATATCTTAATCTCATTTCCATGAGCTTTTTGGAGCACTCTCATGTGCCTTCTATTTAGAAATTAAATTTGCATGTTGTAGATTCTCTCACAGATGTCGATTACAAATCCTAGAGAGGTGATTCTGATTACTTCAGTGAGTAGAATAAGTGCTTCCCTGTCCCTTTTACTTGGTTATGAAACACAATAAAAACTAGGATAACTGCAGGGCCTTACCTGATGACCCCAGTGATAGTTACCAAAAAAGCAAGGTTATTCAGAGCTGTATATATTTGACTAAAAATTCCAATTTGATGTCACTTCTGCTGATGACCCTTGATGACAGATCTGCATGTCTTGTTTGGATATATGTATTTTCTAGGTAAACGTATAAGACTTTCCTCCATACTGTGGTATCACAAGCCTGGTGTGATATGACTGACTCTTGTGTGTGTAACACAATCAAGGAAAAAGTTGTTCAGCATAAATCATGATCATGACTTATCTGATAACATGACAAAATATTTAAATTTCAAATGGGGTCTCCAATATTACTATCATATTCACTAGACTACTTGAATAATAACTGCATGTGTCTATATGAGATATTGTCTGGACTTGTTATATCCAATTTTGGTAGATAAAAATTTGGTATTGTAAAAAAAATAATTTGGTATTGTTTTGTCTATGTAATTTATCCTGAAAAAAGTAACATCTCTGAACCTACAACACATCACTTGCACATTTTATAGGTGTTTGTGGTTTGTTGTGAACCTCAATCAATACCGAAAAAAGAAAAATAAAACACAGAGATTGCTGTGCGTGTAGAATTTTCTCAGCCCAACCTTAATCCAAGCCTCTGATTAAGTCTCTTACTGAAATTAGAGATTATTTTGTAAAGTGAAATTTTAACAGCTGAGATGTCAAAAGTACAAATATCAGATTAAAATTTTTTAACTAGAACATGTATTTTTTGATTTAAGTAATATCAAGAGCCAAAAATTATCTACATTTTGTTTTTAGACAGCTGCAAGCAAGAATTGTCTTTTCTCAAATGTCAAGTAGCTCAGAATAGGAAATTTTTCATCTACTATTTTTTGCCTATACCCCTGTATTTTATTTCATTTTATACATGCTGATATACTTTTCTCTTTTATGCATACCATGTATGTTTCTACACAAATCACTAACCTGTATCAAGTTTCTAATGAAATTAGAACATCTTCAATTCAACTCATTTAAGATATTTTCTTAACATTTTTAGGAACCATGTCCTATGTAGAATTTTTTTAAGTCACTCTAAACTAACAATAGTGTTTACTAGAGGCTGGGAAGGATCAGGGTCATGGGGATAAAGTTAAGTTGGACAACAAGTATCCAAACGCAGATAGAAAATCTGCTGGAGCCAGTGCTATGAAGTAATGGGTTAAGCTATGGCCTGCAGCACCTGCATTCCACATGAGTGCCAGTTGAGTCCCAGCTGCCGGCTGTTCCACTTCCATTTCAGCTCCCTGCTAATGCACCTGGGAAGGCATTACCAGGTCCTTGGGCCTTTGTACCCCTATGGGAGACCCAGAAGAAGCTCCTGGCTCCAGGCCTAACCCAGCCCAAGCCATTGTGGCCATTTAGGGAGTGAACCAGCTCATGGAAGATCTCTCTCTGTCTCTATTTCTCCCCCTGCCTGCACTCTGTAACTATGCCTTTCAAATAAATAAATCTTTAAGAAGAAAAAAATACTCTAGTGTTTCACAGTATAGAGGGGTGGCTATAGTTGGCAAAAAATATATTATATACTCTATAAAAAACTAGAAGACAGGAGTTGGAAGGCTCCAAATATAAAGAAAATATAAGGGAATGGAAAAAAATACCAAATAATTTGATAGTTTCCACTGTATACATGTATTGAAAATGTTTTATTATCCATAAAATGTACAAGTGTTACATGTTAACAACATTTTTTAAAATTAAAAAGTCAAAGAGCCATGTCCTTTTTTTTATAATGGCCTGCCAAACACTTACATTGTTAATGAAAAACAGCATCCTACTGTGGTTGGTTCTAAAGCTCTCCTGTTGTTAGAACTTGACAGTCCAAAATTACTAAGTACAAGAAGAATGTGACTGTACAAAGAGAGGTGCACATTGCCTGAAAAATATTTTATTGACACCAAAGTTGCTGGTTGTATGTACTTAAAAAATCATGTGTGTTTGTGTTTAGATATACTGCACTCATCTTAAAAAATGTCACTAGTTATTTACAAGTATGTTTGCACAATTAGATTTTGAAAGCGGTTTTTGGCAGTGAGAAAATGTTTAATTATATTTTATGGTGATAAATTAGACAACTTTTTACTTTTTTCTGCTTTAAGGGGAAACGATCCTGAGACAATTTATTTGCCTTATAAGGAGGGCTCCCCTTGTGGAAACTGTCCAAATCACTGTGATGATAAACTTTGTAGTAAGTATTATAAATTTAATTTGCTTAAATTTGATCCATTAATCTGGGAAACATGTTTATATTAATCATTGGCAATATTGCACTTTTATTTTTACAACTTTTATCTCAAACCTACTGCAGGAAATATCAACGTTATTTCTCCTGACCTTTCCCCCATCCCCATAGTAACCACAGACTATTGATTTAATCCATTGCAATGGTATGTGCAGGTGTGAGAACTTGAGTTTCTATTCACAGGATTAGTTAAGGTTAACCTGGATAAAATGCTGTAAGTGCAGTTTTTCTCTGCTTTTAACACATTTGTGAGCTCTACTTATTGCAGTCTATAAACAAGGTGCGTGGCTTTGCTTATCAGTATTCTCAGATTGCTTTAGGACCCCCTAAAGGCCTAACCACTTATTGTGCCTTGATTTTTTTTTAATGGAGGGATCCTTATTCTTCTGTTTCCTTTGAAACACCTGTGAAGTGAGAACTTATCTGATGCTCATGGTTCCTTTACAGGACTGCTTTTTATTTCATAAGTATAGCTCATTTCATGTGAAGTTTTAACTAAATGGGTATCTATTTATATGTTAATTCCAATAGATTGCAAAAGTTCCTTTTTAAAAGCCTCCCTGAAAATATAAAACCTTAATCCCTAGGATAAAGTTGATTTAGAAGAATTTCATAAGTCTGTAGCAAAATAAAATCCCAGGAATTTCAGTCGGAAGGCAAGAAAGCTTATTTTCCATAATCTTACTGAGTCTCTATGGCTTTTAAAGTACAGATAATAGATTATTATCTTCTTCTTTTTCTCTCATTCTTCCTCTTCCTCCCCCTCCTCCTCCTTCTTTCTCTCCCACTACCAATTCTCCCTGTCATTCTCTCTCATCCTCTCAATTTTAATTTTTATACTCCACTTATGAGAAGTGTACTTGGAGAAAGACATCTCTCTTTTTAAAAAGTGAAATAATCATCTGTGCTTTGGGAAAGAAGGATGAGGAGTGAGTAGATTTTTGCTTTGTTTTGTTTTGTTTCTGTATTCAGAAGAAAAAAATCAATGTCTGCTGTGTCATGTAATAGAAGTAAAGGAAAGTAAGAAAGAACTATTACTCAGGAAGATCCTATCTATGACATAGAAGATATATGAGGGGCACCCAAGTGGAGTACCTTTTATCATCGCTAAGTAAGTGAGAGATTAAGGAAATATATGACTCTAAGTGTGGGATATATTGAGCAAAAATTATAATAGGAATTTAAGACTTGGCTATGTAAATACAATCCATTTAATACAAATATAATACATGAAACAATTCTAGTCATAAAATTGAGACAATTGTAAAAATAAAATATAAAGGAAAAGATTGTGTAAAACATCTTATATTCTCAAGAAAAATATTTTACCTCTAAATAAAAAAAAAATCATTTTGCCCAGAATACTGTATAACAGAATAAAGTAGGGATAGCAACAAGCTAACTGATTAAAGAAAATGAGTTGTAATAACCTTGACAGTTATTGATCATAAGGAAAAAAGCAGGTGTAAGTTATCAGCTACACAGTGGCTCAGGTAGTAATATGACACTCACCCCTCATCTGTCCTACCTTAATAAATATACTATAATCATCCGGGTAACTGCAAGATAAGTCAGTTTAATATTTTGAAAAGGGAAAGCATATGTCACAGAAGGATATGTGTAAAATATTTATTTATTTAATTTATTTATTTATTTTTTGACAGGCAGAGTGGACAGTGAGAGAGAGAGACAGAGAGAAAGGTCTTCCTTTTGCCATTGGTTCACCCTCCAATGGCCGCCACGGCCGGCGCACCGCACTGATCCGATGGCAGGAGCCAGGTACTTCTCCTGGTCTCCCATGGGGTGCAGGGCCCAAGTACTTGGGCCATCCTCCACTGCACTCCTGGGCCACAGCAGAGAGCTGGCCTGGAAGAGGGGCAACCGGGACAGAATCCAGTGCCCCAACTGGGACTAGAACCCGGTGTGCCAGCACCGCAAGGTGGAGGATTAGCCTAGTGAGCCCCGGCACTGGCCGGATATGGGTAAAATAATAAGAGCTGTGAGATCAACCTTTATAAGTGAAAAAGAAAGGAAATAGAGGAAAATTTTTAATTGACACATTATCAGGATTCAAGAGTTTATATAAAATTTTTAAAATATCCTAAAAGAGGAAGAAAAATTACAGTTAACTTTGCTTTCAAATATAAAAATCTATTTATTAGTATTGAAAGTGAAACTTGGATTAAAGGATGCTTTAGTGAATTTTTCGTAGCCATTACCACAATTCTAAAATGTTGAATATCTTGGAGCTGACATTTACTGCAACATCCCATATCAGAGTACCTTGGCTTAGCAGGTTTGAGTGTCTGCTAAACGATCCATCCAAACTTCTTGCTAATGTGCACCTTAAGGGGAAGTTCAAGTAGATAGGCACTTATCTCACACAGGGAGACCCCAGCTGAGTTCCAAACTTCTGGCTTCAGCCTGGCCCAGCCTTGCTGTTAAAGCCATTTGGGGTGTGAAGCAGCAGCTGGGATATCTCTCTCTACTTCTGTCTCTGTCTCTCTGCCTTTAATATGAAATACATAAATAAATAAATAAATAAATGTTTGATATATTGGGACTCTTCATAGTGATTGGAAAATTTGGTGTATAATTTCTGCTTTGGAATATACTTGATATGTACATAGGCATGTATTTATGGAATAGAAGAAGCTGGAAAATCATTTTAGAGTTAATTAACATGAACTGTAATATGTGCTTTTCATTCAATTTTTTTTTTTTTTTGACAGGCAGAGTGGACAGTGAGAGAGAGAGACAGAGAGAAAGGTCTCCCTTTGCCGTTGGTTCACCCACCAATGGCCGCCACGGCCGGCGCGCTGTGGCAAGCACACCGCACTGATCCGATGGCAGGAGCCAGGTACTTCTCCTGGTCTCCCATGGGGTGCAGGGCCCAAGCACTTGGGCCATCCTCCACTGCACTCCCAGGCCACAGCAGAGAGCTGGCCTGGAAGAGGGGCAACCGGGACAGAATCCGGTGCCCCGACCGGGACTAGAACCCGGTATGCCGGCGCCGCAAGGCGGAGGATTAGCCTAGTGAGCCGCGGCACCGGCCTTTTCATTCAATTTTTACATCAAGTATATATTACTTCTAATAATCCAAAGCAAAATTTTTAATATTAAATTATACAGTATTATATAAAGTAAAAACTAATGAATGAAACTTATTGCTTTATTTTATATTGCTAATAACATTGATGTTTTCAAAATGACAATATATTGAAAAGATGATCCATTGCTAATGTGCTAAGTTGTATACCTAAAAATTTTGTGATGAAAATACCTGTTAACTACCAAGATAAGAATACTATCTTTTCTCTCATAGATGATGTCATTTATCATCTTTTTACATTCATATTTAATTTCCTCATACTGATAAAATTTAATTGCCTATTTTTATTTTATTTTTTGAATTTATTCATATGTTTTATTTATTTATTTACACAGAGAAAGAGAGAGAGAGAGAGAAAGAGAAGATTTTCCCTCCCCTGGTTCATGCCGCAAATGGCCACAACAGCCAGCGCCTTGCCAGGCCAAAGGAAGAAGTAGGGAGCACTATCCTGGTATCTCCTATAGGTGGCTAGGGCCTAAACGCTTGAGCCATCTTCTGTTGCTTTTCCCAGGCCATTAGCATGGAACTGGATAGCAAGTGGAGTAGCTGGGACATAAATTGACACCCATATGGGATCCTGGCATTGCAGGCAGGGGCCTTAACTGCTATACCACAACACTAGCCTCTAACTATTCTTGATAAAATTGCTCTTTACGAGGGAAGGCATTCAACACAGTGGTTAACATGCTATTAGGGACGCCTGCATCCTACCTTGGTAGCACCGCTGTCCAATGCAGCTTTCTGCTAATTGCATCCTGGGAAGCAGGAGATGATTGCTAAAATATTAGGTTCTTGCCACCCATGTGGGAGAATCATATTGAGTTCCAGGCCCCTGGGTTCAGCGCAATCCAGTCTTGGTTGTTGCAGGCATTTGAGTAGTGAACCAGTCGATAAGTGATCTTTCTGTGTGTGTGTGTGTGTGTGTTGTAGGGGGAGGAGGATGTGTCACACCACCTTTTAAATAAATAAATAATAGATGATTTAAAAAGACAATATTTATAAATGTACAATTCTCTTGCAGCTAACCCATGCCTCTTCTTTGATGAACGCACCAACTGTGAGATACAAGTAAAGCATCTTGGATGCAGCCACCCATCAGTTCAATTATTCTGCAAAGCTTATTGTAACTGTGACACTGAGATAAAATAGCTTTTTGTTTTTTGCAATGATACTGTGCCAGATGAGGAGATGTCTGTTGGATCATCTTTTCCTTATTTTACCTCAATAGCTTCAGATGAATTTCACTCCCTCTTATTTATGCTGAAGATCCCAATTTTTAATAATCGTTTATGGACATTAGTATATTTTCATCAGTGCCACCCACTCCTGTCCTGATACATATGAAGTAGCATTGTTTTAAAGTTTCTTTAAGGCTGGAATAAAGGGTTGAGTTTTCCACCTAATTGAAATTTAAATCACATAATTTAAAATTCCTAGGTTGACATAATCCAACTGATTGGTGGTGTGATTGCATCATCAGAAACCTATGCTTAAGCAGCATCTTACCGATTTTAACTCTCTTTTCTGCTTTTACCATTGTCTCCATCCTGATGTTTCTCTGAATAGCTAAATTCTTTAATTTTTGATTTTGTTTTTATTGTAAATTAATCATTAAAATCCACAAAGCAAACAAGGGTCCAGTCTCAATTTCCAGAATGAATATTACTTAATTGGAAGTTTAAATTTATCATGTTTCATTGTCTTGTCCATAGACATATTTGTATGGCAGGAAAGAATACTTTCTGACATTAATTTAGCCACATGCATAATTGGCATTGATTGCATTCAACATATAATGCTTCCACATAGCAAATATTGTCTCCCTCATTTTAAAAGAAATTATACATAGCTTAATATGAGAAATAAATAAGTCTTTGAAGACACACCAATCAATCATACATTATTGGTGCCAAATGAACATAAGTAAATTCTGTTTGGAAATTCAAGAAAGTCTCAAAAGTAGAATGAGGTGTAGTTTTTGAGTGAACAAGATTGCTATTGTGATCATTTCAAGGCAATGGAACAGTATAAATAAAGGCCTATGTGCTCAAGTACACTGAAACTTTAAGGGATATTAAAGGATCTGATGCGAGAGAAATGAAGTATAGAACTATTTAACAAGTTGAGATGAATTGGTTCCCTAATTGTATTTTTTTTAACTTTTATTTAATGAGCATAAATTTCCAAAGTACAGCTTATGGATTACAATGGCTTCCCCCACCCATAACTTCCCTCCCACCTGCAACCCTCCCCTTTCCCTCTCCCTCCCCCCTTCCATTCACATCAAGATTCATTTTCAATTCTCTTTATATACAGAAGATCAATGTAGCAGATATTAAGTAAAGATTTCACAGTTTGCACCCCCACAGAAACATAACGGGAAAAATACTGTTTGAATACTAGTTATAGCATTAAATCTCAATGTACAGCACACTAAGGACAAAGATCCTACATGAGGAGTAAGTGCACAGTGACTCCTGTTGTTGATTTAACAAATTGACACTCTTGTTTATGGCATCAGTAATCACCCTAGGCTCTTGTCATGAGTTGCCAAGGCTATGGAAGCCTTTTGAATTCACCGACTCTGCTCATATTTAGACAAGGCCATAGTCAAATTGGAAGTTCTCTCCTCCCTTCAGAGAAAGTGTCGCTCCCCCTCTTCATGGAGGAATGACACTAAACCCTGCCTAGGCTTCATATCTGAGTCACGGCACCATTATGTCGCTCCCCGTCTTTGTGGAGGAACGACACAGGACCCTGCGCTGTTCTTTTGTCTGCTCGGCCCTCCCTGGGTTTGCTGCTGGTTCTTCCCGGGTTGGCTACCGTCCCTCTACCTCTGTGGAAGGGCAGTTCCCCTGCCACTTTCCCCACTTCCGCAGGGGAGCGGCACACCGCCGGCCGGCTCTCTCGGGGGCTGCACAGGTGTTCCTCTTAGATGTTCCTGGTGCATGTTGTCTCTCTCCTCCTTTATAGTCCTCTTCCACCAATCCCAACTCTGCTACCCACACGCTGAGTACGCTGCTCTCCTGCAATCAGGAGCAGGTCCTGCTGTTTATTGGTTGAACTGGAGGCAACTGTGTAGAAGCTGTTTCCTCCTCTCCCAGCGCCATATTGTGGGAGAGCAGATGCATAGAATAAGTCTTAATTCCAGTAACAGTCTAGTCCAAGTTGCTCCCAGTTGCTCCCCACAGAAAGGTACCTCCTTCTTTGATGACCTGTTCTTTCCACTGGGATCTCACTCTCAGAGATCTTTCATTTAGTGGTTTTTTTTTTTTTTTTTTTTTTGGCCAGAGTATTTTGCCTTTCCATGCCTGTAATACTCTCATGGGCTTTTCAGCCAGATCCGCGTGCCTTAAGGGCTGATTCTGAGGCCAGAGTGCTGTTTAGGACATCTGCCATTCTATGGGTCTGCTGTGTATCTCCCTTCCCATGTTGGATCATTCTCTCACTTTTTTATTCTATCAGCTAGTATTTGCAAACACTAGTCTTGTTTATGTGATCCCTTTGGCTCTTAGTCCTTTCATTATGATCAATTGTGAATAGAAATTGATCACTGGTACTAGTGATATGGTATTGGTACATGCCACTTTGATGGGATTGAATTGGAATCCCCTGATATGTTTCTAACTCTACCGTTTGAGGTAAGTCAGCTTGAGCATGTCCCAAATTGCACATTTCTTCCCTCTCTTATTCCCACTCTTATATTTAACAGCAATCACTTTTCAGTTAAGTTTCAACACTTAAGAATAACTGTGTATTGATTACAGTATTCAACCAAAAGTATTAAGTAGAACAAACAAAAAAAAATACTAAGAGGGATAACGTATTAAGTTGTTCATCAACAGTCAGGGCAAGGGCTGATCAAGTCACTATTTCTCATAGTGTTCATTTCACTTTAACAGGTTTCCTGTTTGGTGCTCAGTTAGTTGTCACCAATCAGGGAGAACATATGATATTTGTCCCTTTGGGACTGACTTATTTCACTCATCATAATGTTTTCAAATTCCTAACAGGGATCACTTTTCAGTTAAAATTTAAACACCTAAGAATAATTGTGTGTTAATTACAGAGTTCAACCAATAGTACTAGAACAAAAAAAAACTAAAATGGATGACGTATTACATTGTACCTCAACCATCAGGACAAGAACTGATCAAGTCACTGTTTCTCACAGTGTCCATTTCACTTCAACAAGTTTCCCCTTTGGTGCTCAGTTAGTTGTCGCCGATCAGGGAGAACATATGATATTTGTCCCTTTGGGACTGGCTTAATTCATTGAGCATGATGTGTTCCAGATTCCTCCATCTTGTTGCAAATGACTGGGTTTCATTGTTTTTGATTGCTATATAGTATACTATAGAGTACATGTCCCATAATTTCTTTATCCAGTCTACTGTTGATGGGCATTTAGGTTGGTTCCAGGTCTTAGCTATTGTGAATTGAGCTGCAATAAATATTAATGTGCAGACAGCTTGTTTGTTTGCCAATTTAATTTCCTTTGGGTAGATTCCAAGGAGTGGGATGGCTGGGTTGAATAGTAGGGTTATATTCAGGTTTCTGAGAAATCTCCAGACTGACTTCCATAGTGGCTTAACCAGTTTGCATTCCCACCAACAGTGGGCTAGTGTCCCTTTTTCCCCACATCCTCTCCAGCATCTATCGTTGGTAGATTTCTGAATGTGAGCCATTCTAACTGGGGTGAGGTGAAACCTCATTGTGGTTTTGATTTGCATTTCCCTGATTGCTAGTGATCTTGAACATTTTTTCATGTGTCTGTTGGTCATTTGGATTTTCTCTTTTGTAAAATGTCTATTGAGGTCCTTGGCCCATCTCTTAAGTGGGTTATTGTTCTGATGTTGTGGAGTTTCTTGATTTCTTTTTAGATTCTGGTTTTCAACCCTTTATCTGTTGCACAGTATGAAAATATTATTTCCCATTCTGTCAGTTGCCTCTTCACTTTCCTGACTGTTTCTTTTGAAGTACAGAAACTTCTCAATTTGATGCAATCCCAAATGTTAATTTTGGTTTTTACTGCATGTGCTTCTGGTGTATTTTCCATGAAGTCTTTGCCGGTACCTATATCTTGTAGGGTTTTTCCAATGCTCTCTAGCAATTTGATGGTGTCGGGTTGTATTTAAGTCTTTAATCCATGTTGAGTGAATTTTTGTGTAAGGTTTAAGGTGGGGGTCTTGCTTCATGATTCTGCACGTGGAAATCCAGTTTTCCCAACACCATTTATTGAATAGACTGTCCTTGCTCCAGGGATTGTTTTTGGATCCTTGATCAAATATGAGTTGGCTGTAGATGTTTGGATTGGTTTCTGGTGTTTCAATTCTGTTCCGTTGGTCTATCCATCTGTTTCTGTACCAGTACCATGCTGTTTTGATAACAACTGCCCTGTAGTATGTCCTGAAATCCAGTATTGTGATGCCTCTGGCTTTGTTTTTGTTGTACAAGACTGCTTTAGCTATTCGAGGTCTCCTGTGTCTCCATATGAATTTCAGCATCATTTTTTCCAGATCTGAGAAGAAAATCTTCGGTATTATCATTGGTATTGCATTGAATGTATCAATTGCTTTTGGGAGAATGGACATTTTGATGATATTGATTCTTCCAATCCATGAGCATGGAAGATTTTTCCATTTCTTGGTATCCTCTTCTATTTCTTTCTTTAAGGTTTTGTAATTCTCATTTTAGAGATCTTTAACATCCTTGGTTACGTTTATTCCAAGGTATTTGATTGTTTTTGTAGCTACTGTGAACGGGATTGATCTTAGAAGTTCTTTCTCAGACATGGCATTGTCTGTGTATACCAAGGCTGTTGATTTTTGTGCATTGATTTTATATCCTGCTACTTTCCCAAACTCTTCTATGAGTTCCAATAGTCTCTTAGTAGAGTTCTTTGGGTCCCCTAAGTAAAGAATCATATCATTTGCAAAGAGGGATAGTTTGAGTTCTTCCTTCCCAATTTGTATCCCTTTAATTTCTTTTTCTTTTCTAATAGCTCTGGCTAGAACTTCCAGAACTATATTGAATAGCAGTGGTGAGTGTGGGCATCCCTGTCTGATACCAGATCTCAGTGGAAAAGCTTCCAACTTTTCCCCATTCAATAGGATGTTGGCCGTGGGTTTTTCATAGATTGCTTTGATTGTATTGAGGAATGTTCCTTCCAAACCCAGTTTGCTTAGAGTTTTCATCATGAAAGAGTGTTGTATTTTATCAAATGCTTTCTCTGTGTCTATTGAGATAATCATGTGATTTTTCTTCTGCAGTCTGTTAATGTGGTGTATCACATTGATTGTTTTGCGCACATTGGCCATCCCTGCATACCAGGGATAAATCCCACTTGGTCTGGGTGGATGATCTTTCTGATATGTTGTTGCATTCTATTGGCCAGAAGTTTATTGAGGATTTTTGCATCTATGTTCATCAAGGATATTGGTCTGTAATTCTCTTTCAATGCTGCATCTTTTTCTGGCTTCATAGAAAGAATTTGGGAGGATTGCCTCTTTTTTGATTGTTCTGAATAGTTTGAGAAGAATTACAGTTAGTTCTTCTTTAAATGTCTGGTAGAATTCAACAGTGAATCCA